AATATTGGCAGAAGAAAAACCCTAAACCCTAATACTTTTTTTTTTTGTTTTATGTTTTTTTGCGTAGAACACACTAACTCTTTGTATATAAGCTTACACCTTACACCTCAATAATTTTTTTTTGAGGTCTTACACCACCACATAAACAGCCTGCACCATTTACACCACGTACACACTACACCATTTATAAACACACACTACACCACTCACACCACATACACCACTGCGTTTTTTTTTTTCTTTTTGGTAACCCTGATGAGGAATAAGAAGCTTAACCAAACTAAAAAGTGAAAAATTATTTATCATATGAATTTATTCAGTCTATATATATATATATATATATATATATATGTCTTCTAAAGTGGTAGAAAACTTTTAGTTTCAACATTTTAGTTTCAACGATAGAGGTAATATATGTATAAATATATATATATATATATATGTTGAAAGTGAGTGTGAACTATAGACTTGCGGCGTCTGGCTTGTATGTTTTCAAAAATGTATCATCACCTTCTGTATCTTTAAGATTTTTGCATGTTTCGAATAAAGTACAAAATGTGAATAAGGATAATGATGATGATAATACCAGTCGAGACCAACAAGATGATAGAAAGGAGAAAAGTCAAAATTCTTTTTCAGATCAAGTTTTCAAGCTTGCTATGAACTATGAAAAATTTGGTGAAAAAAAAAATGTGCATAAAGATGTATTAAAAAACTCAGATTTAAAATTTGATGTTGAAGATCCACCATTAGTTTTACAAGATGTATCCAAGACCAAGAAACCACCAAAGAGGTCGGAAATTATTATTTTAAATCCATTTGAATCTCGTGGAGGGAAAAGAAAGAAATCTAGTCATGGCTCAAATGGAAATTCTTTTGAAAAACCAATGCTTAATTTATACGATTTTGCAAAACATAAAGATACTTTATTAGTATTTAAGACAAAAGTTCCATACACACAGTTGATTAAAAGTATTGATACCATGAAACCTTTACAAATAGAAACTTCTCCAAAGAGATTTGATCAATTATGTGATGATTTAAAAAATGCATATACACTCCCACAATTACAAGATTATTTAGTAGAATATTATGGATATAAGAGAAATAAAGTTAAAAAATTTGTTAAATCTAAATTAATTGATGAAATTTTATTAAATTGTTGGAAATTAATTAAATCTGATAAAATTAATGAAACTGAAGATTTAATTATGGAAGAAACTATATCTTTAACTCCAAGAGATTTATTTTTAATTTTATCTGATAATGGTATATTACTTTTCCATTGGTCAAGACTTGGAGCCAAAATTGCTGTTTCTACAACAGAACAAAAATTGATCATTAGAGCACCTCGTCCAACTTTACGTTATATTCAATTAAGTTTAAACAAAATTTTAACTACAAAGATTAAAAGTTCAACTTTAGATCTTACAGAAATTACTAAAATATTCCAAAAATCAATGAAAGAAATTCCATTCCATGATTTACAAACTATAAGTAATGTTTATTTCGGTAAATCACAAAATGATAATGAAACTTATGTTTTAAGTGCTTTAGGAAATGATAGAATCTCTTTGGTTAAAAGATTAATTGCCTTGTCGTTGGATAGTCATGAATTTTCTTCAAGAGAAATTTTAATCAATGGCTTGGAAGAAAATAATTATCAAAATACTGAATTGATGAAATTCAAAGTAGTAGCAGAATTATCACTTCCTTGGATATATAAGAATAAAGAATGGTTCAGATATAAAAATCCAGTTTCAAAAGTTAAAGAATTGAGTTACCAAGAGATATTTGAACATGATATTGATTATGAAAATATTGAAGCAGATATTACAGAGTTGATGAAGGAAAATTTAAAATTAGAACAATCTCAGGATATTGAGGATGTTGTCTATGGTGACTCAACTACTAATGATAACTTTGAATCCAACAGTAGTATTGGATTAAATGATTTCCACCACTCTGCTTCTACTGAGAAAGAAACTCTTGAAACAGATCAACAGAAGCCATTAACAACAACATCAATATCTAAGGATGGGAAGAAAGATAATATTTCAACTACTTCGATTTCATCAATTGATCAATTTCAAATAGATAAAGATTCATTATTCGATAGATTAATAAAAATCCAACCGAATTTCTCAAAGATGGCCAAGGACAAATACAGTGTTCCAATGTTCACTACAACTTATGGACAATTGCTACTCGATAATAGCGGTAATCATTATTTCAATAACCATTTGCCATTTATGAAAAAATTTATCGAGAAATTGCCCTTATTTAACCCAGTAACAAATGATGAAATAGTTGCTGGTACTAGAGAATTTTTCTTAAACGACCAATATTCTTATTTCCACCAAATTAAACTTATTCCAAACATTTATGATAATGTTGCAAACTTACAAAAATTTCCTAATATCGAATTTTGGTTTGAAACTGATAATAAATATAGACCAAATTTTCAATCTTTAAGAATTCTCACTACAGAGCTGGAAAAATCTTTGTATTTATCGTTACCATCTAGAAATTCGGATTTGAACATAAGTTCCCTGATATTAGGAGAATTTGAGACAAATTTCAACAATAATGAAGATTGGTTAAGCGATCAACCAGGTATAAAAGATTTCTTAAAAAATGCATTAGTCAAAGATCGTGGAAGTGTGGGAATCCATGATTTCCCTTCAAAAGTTAATATCAGTATAGGTGACGAAAAAGTTTCATATTTATTAGTTGAACATCTTTTCAGAAGACAACTTGAAGTTAAATTCAATAACCAATTATTACAATTTTCCATTATCGACGGAGGAGAGTACTCAGGAAGAAAATTAGAGGCCAATTTAATTGGTAATTATAATAACGATGAAATGACTAGGGAAAAATTCGATAAATTCATTGACGATTCACTTGATATGGTAGATCAGTTCTAACCCACCATGACCTTCTCTAAAATAGATAGTTTAACCTTAAAAGAATAAAAGTTCACATTTTTGTATATAGTTTATAATAGCAAATTATCGTTGTATATTACGAGCGATGAGATTTAATTGTTGTAAAATATTGTAAATGAAAACAAAAACAAAAAAAAGAAAACTTTTTTTGTAAAGTAATATTTTGTTATATTTAGTTAGTTCTTTATATTGTTATGATCCAAGATAGTGATCAAGAAGATCGGAAACTTAAGAAGATTAAGCTAGATGATTCTCGGATAGCTAATGATAATTGTTCTTTTGAACTGGAGAGACAGTCTCGTAGGAGTTTTAAAGGAAATAAGAATTATGTCACATTTTACAATAAAGAAGTTAAAGAGTTTTCAATTTTGAATGATGCAAATTTTACTTGCAGTGATTATGACTCAAGATTGAAGGGAAGTTATATAAATGTTTCTGGTGATGGTCTGATATTAAGTAGCGAGGGAAATCAAGATGATAATTTTTCTGGTACTTATTGGTCATCAAAAGAGAAAGATATTTTTTTCAAATGTTTAGGTCGTTATAGTATTCATAATATTGATTTAATTCAAGAATTTTTACCTGGGAAATCTCATGTTGAGCTTATAAATTATTATGAATTGTTGAAACAAGATTTGAAATTATTGAAAAGGAGGAGAAAAACATTTAAAAGGTTGGTACAAATAAGTGATTTTCCTATAGCGTATGAAATGTCTGAAAGCTTTATTAGAATGGAAGAGGAACAAAGTTCAATGATAACTGCAGTAGAAAAAATTAGAGATAGTGATTATATTCAAAAGAATAAAATTGAACAAGATGAAGATTCTTTATTAAATTATGAGAATTCAAAAGAATTAATTGAAAAATTTTATTCTGTGAATAATGTGATTCCAATTACAAGTAATAGACTTATACCTAAATTGTCTAAATCAAGTGCAGAATTCTTACAAGATATTCTTATCAATCTTACCAAAGAGTTATTGGCGAATATAGTTCAATTCAAAATACAAAATATAGCAATGTACCGAAGTTCTTTAAACCATTTAACTTATAAGCCCAAGATAGACCCAAAGACTGGAGAATTAAAATTACCACTAAGTGTTAATCAAACGGATATTTATAGAGCTGTTGATAAATTAAATCTTAAAAGACCATCAAAAATCAGTGATTATTTTAAACAATTGCCCAAGAGATTAGATTTAATAATTGTTACTGAGAAGGAAAATTTAGTTAATAACGATAAATTGGCGAAAAAGAGTAAATCATTGAAAAACAACAAGAATTTTGATCCTGAAGATTTTGTTTTTAAATTTCAAGAAAGTGATAATGATAATGATGATAATGATGATAATGATGATGATTATAATAATAATAATAATAATAATAATAATAATAAAGTTTCTGATGGAACACAGAATGTAATACTTGAAAAAGAAGAAGAGACTAATATACAAAGATCGAAACCAGTACATATATCTTCTTTGAAAAGACCAAGAAACCAAATTTTGAAAGATGATGTGGATATAGTTGCTAATGGAAAATACCCATGCACGAGCAATTTTTTTGTCAACGAAGAAGAATCATTATTAGAAAATCAATTAGCCTTGAAATTATTTGAATTGGAATCTAGTACTTTAAATAAAATTGATACAATGGAATCTAGAAACTATGAACACGTTTTATTGACTTATTTATCTACATTTGAAAAACCTACATTGCTTGAAGATGAAGCAAAAATAAATGAATATATTCAACTTGAGAACGAAATTTCCAATCACAAAATTCAGAATTTAGAAAAAGATTTTTACGAAATCAGCGATCAAGAAGATACCGAAATTGACCATACCTCCAACAACCACGATGATGATGACAATAATAATAATCATGAGGATGATATTGACAACACCCTTTACGAGATCACTCCTGAAATGTTGACCATGTACATGTACGAATTTGCAGCTTACGATTAGTTGGGTGAACTCATCACCGTACAATATATATATATATATATATCTTTATACAAAAAAATAAAAAAATTAATTTTATTTCAACCCGAGGCGGGACTCGAACCCGCAATCTTTGCCTCCGGAAAGCAACGCGCTAACCATTACGCTACAAGGGCTTAAAAACACAACTTTTTATTGCCGTTGCTTTAACAGCTGAATAGAAAATAAAATTGTTTAAATTATCAAATTATCATGATTTATAGTCTCATGTCAACTGTAATTCCTAATTCACAATATAAGTTTATATTGGTAATAAAAGAAGTTAGAATCTAGGGAAAAAAGATTTTGTGTAATTAAACTGAAAAATTTCCAAAACTTTGCATTTTGACCCATATACACCAGGGTTATTTGACAGTTTTTTTTTAGGAAAATTCGAATCATGACTTTTTGACTTCTAACTTCTAATTCAACGTCTCAATATGCAATTTTATATTACCAATTGTCAGCTGGGAACTTTTAAAACCAACGGATCCACAGACAATTGCAATTGCCTGACAAAAATGCGATGTGATTTGATGACTTGTTGACGGTTCAAATTGCAAACAAATAATTAGAAAAAACAGTCGTTCGTGCAATACCAATTACGGTAACCCCAAAAACCCACTGAAGGACGATGGATTCAGAGTTCACCATTTTTCATTTAACTAGTTGATTGGCCAATAATTCTTGCAAATCGGTGAAAGTGGGAGTAGGTGATATTTTAAGAGTAATTCTATAATTTCAAGAGAGTATTTAAGGAGAATGATGAAGAATTTGCCAAAAATAATTGGGAATTTCCATGGACCTTTTAGTTCATTCCAATTGAAAAATTCAACTTTTCACAATTTTCAACCAGCGATGAGGTCTTTTTTAGGTATTAGACTGTATCATAATGTTTTCAGAACACATCTGTCACAAAAGGAACTGGCAAAAACTCTCATACTATTGAGAAAAAATTTGAATGCTAATAACGTTTATGGAATTAGGTTTATGAATGTTGGTATGAGATTTAATTCGACTAAATCTTCGTCTTCCCAAAGTCAAAAAAGTTCGCAAACTAAAAGCTCATTTTTCAATAGATTATCAAGAGCAATTACATTTTCTGCCTCATCGATTCTTGTGCTAGGTGCAGCAGGACTTGCATGCATTGTCATCTATTTGGTCATTGCGGAAATAGCTTTCCCTTCTGGTGATACCCAAACTTTTAATAGAGCAGTCAAATTGGTGGAAGATGATCCAGTTGCTCTGAAATTATTGCGAGTAGAAGAAGGAACAAGATTGAAGGCTTACGGAGAAACAGGGTCCGACAAATGGACAAGAAATAGACCAATTTCTTCTGTTAGAAGAGTAGGATTAGATGGCAAGGAACATGTCTTGATGAGATTTCATGTTGAAAGCAAAACAAAACATGGTGTTGTTCAACTAGAAGCTATTGACGACAGCTATTTTAAGCAAGAATTCTCTTATATTGCATTGGATGTCCCAGGTGAAGACAGACATTTTGTAGTTGGACCAAAAGTTCCAGAAAAAAGATTCAGAATTAAAGATCCAAATACAGGGTTTTTAGGAGTTAAATGGGGTCCAAAGAAAGATTGATTTATGGAATCAAATTAATTATATATATATATATATTGTTCTCTTTTAATTTACTTTGTTTTGTATGTCTTGTATATTTTACAGAAGAAAAGAGTAAAACAACAAAAGAAAAAAGAAAAATTTATTTTATATTCATGTCAAATTCTATTTGAAAATACTTGTAAAAGCTAATACTGCAAATGCTACAACCATTATCGTTGCAATGCTGTTTATGATACCATCACTAATTTTTTTAGAACGAGCAACTGTAATTCTAGTTGCTCCGGATCTCATTATAGCTGTTTCAGTACTTGGAGAAATTGATTCTGTCTCATCTGTCTTTTCATTGGCTTTAAATTCCCCATATATGGCACTGATATATTCTTCACCAATTGCATCAAAACAAGTTCTTCTTATACTGCTATTTGGCTCATTAATTGCCTTCAAATCTTCGATTGAATTTCTGCTATTGACGATAATCGCCTTATTTTCAAAATCACAATAAGTCATTCCTTGATTGTTTCTCATAAAATATTCATTCAAAGCAAAGGATAAACGTTGGCTTTGACGACATCCTGAAAAGATACCATATTTACCTGTAGTACCATTTCCACTAATCTTTGCACATGGTAATGTTTCTGATTCATTTGCACTGCATATTTTCCCATATAGATCTTTTCTTTCTTCTAAAGTTATAGTCAGAATTGGTGCTTTTGTGCATGATAAGGCACTCAATAAACAGTCACACTTAAATTGATCTGGTGTATTTGGTAAAACTGTAGATGCTTTCCAATTTTCTGTTTGTTCTTTGCAACTTACATTACCAGTCAGACTTGGTTTATAATCTTCTCTATGTACACCTTTAATGTTTACTTTACCGTATTCATATTGCAAGAATTTGAAATCTTCCAATTTCTTAACAGGACTGGATAAGTTTTTAGAATCAACAATTTCAACAACACCAAATTGATTTTGTTCTTCAAAATACATATACATAATTCCACCGGAAAATGCATCTGACATCAAGGGACTAAACAATGCATCAACTTCAGTAAATGGTCTTGGTCTCACAGTGTTACAACCAAATTCAGAAAAGAAAACAGGAATTGGAAAATTTTTAAAATCCAGGACTCTTTCACTATATCCAGAAGTCCTAAAAGTTGAGTGACCACACCATTCATAATTGTTAATACCATAAAAATCAGCTTTACTAGTATTGTCATCACCACAAATAAAATAATTAGATAAAAAATCTCTAATTTGAGAATCATCATTGGTAGAGTATCCAATTGGAATATTTCGATATTTTTTCTTGACAATATGTTTTTTAACATCTCTAATAGAAGCACGAACAAAAGGAGCAGCAGATGTTGTTGTTCTATCATTAACAACTTCATTTCCAGCAAAAAAACCTAAAACATTATTATATTTCTCAAGTGCATCAACAACATTTTTATAACGATCATAAAGATCACCATCCCAAGTAGGTTCTTTTCTATCTACAGACAGTTTTGGCTCAGATAAATCAGCAATGAGATAAATATTGTTTTTAGCTAATAGATTCATACAATAATCATGATTTGCCTGTGGATCAATCGCATAGACTCTAATGACATTAACATTCAATTCTTTTAAATACTCAATGTCTCTGGAACATATTTCTGAGTATGCCAAAGGATCAATATAACCTTTTTTATCTTCAGCTTTCCCCAGATGATGATAATGATTAAAATCTGGTTGATAGGCAATACCTTTCAAAAAAAATTGAGAACCATTATTCGAAAAAAAAACTTGTTACCATACACTTCAATAGGTGCAATATGTGAATAAGCATTTGGTGCTTTAAGTACAGGGTTTAAGGAATTCGTCAATCCAAATTGTGAGTCTTGAATTGAAGCTTGATGCCCAATCCCAATATTACCATTTGAAATTGCACATTGCGCAATTTCACCGCCAGCAAACAAGGCCAACAACTTTATTGAGTTAATAAACTTCATGTTTTTCCTCAAAGAACACTAGTGTTGACTTTGCCCATTTACTCTCCGAGAATTAAAGCCTTTTTATATAGCCATCAACAGACATTTACTTCGATCTGGTTTTTGTGTTTACACAAATTATGCAAGTTCTGCAAGTTCAACAAGTTCAGCCGCACATAACTTTTTTCAAGGTACAAAACAAGACAAAACAAGATTAGCTAGTTAGGTTAATAAAAGATCTTACAATAAAGTGATTGATAAATGTAAAACTAGATTTACTTTATAGGAACTCAAATATAAAAACCAAATTCAAAAGAGAAAAATGAAATCAAATGATAATAAAAAAAAAAAAAAAAGAAATAGAAAAAAAAAAAAATAAAAGGAAATGTTTATATCATACAGAAAAAAGGGGAGAAAATAATTTTTAAAAATCGCAAAAACAAAAAAAAATTTCACCTCAATCACCAATCAAAATATTCAGGAAGTATAATAACAAAAAAAAAAGGGAAAATAATAATAAAAAAAAAATAGTTCAGGTAACAAATGAGACTCAATATAAAATTAAGCAATTGTCGACCATGTGGACATCGAAGGGGTAGTTGTAGTCAATGCATATTTAGGAGCGTTGCTACCTGTATCATTGTTATCTTGATGACGTGGTTGAACAAGACCAGTTGTTACTCCAGTCAATACACTATCATCAATATTTACATAACCAGAAGCAACTGCTGGACCGACAATAACAGCTGCAAAGGTGGCAAATACAGTGAAGTACAAAGTCATGTACTTTCTAACCATTCTTCTTCTCAAACGGGCTTGTTTAAGTGAATAAATCGGTGGTCTGATTTGTCTTGAAGGCTTTAACCAGAACAACATTGTTGAGTGCCATCTGTCGATCAATGGAATACACAATATTGGAAATTGACAGAATAAGATGATATGACCTAAGACAAAATCACCAGCAAATTCTGAAGATTCAATAATCTTAGCACAGAATTCACGACATGGTTGAGTCCAAGCCATCCAACCTAAACCAGATCCGTACCATTTACCAGTCCAGAAAGCAGTATTAGCATGATCACTCTTAAATTCTCTAGTCAAGAAGGCTAAAGTCAAGAATTTGAAAAGTAAACGTTCGGCATAAATACAAGTAATAACACCAATTAAACATTTTGGTAATGAAAAACCTTCCAATACCCACATGACAACAAAGAAAATGAGATGAACAATAACAGAAACACCGTGGGCAAAACCAGCCATAACAGCACCAGTCTTCTTACAACATAAACCAAATAATGGACCTGAACAACATGATAAACCAACAGCGAGCATTAAGGTTCCTGCATTAACAGCAACCGGAGCTAATGCACAAATAATAACACGTAACGTTGAATTGACAGCAGTGGCATCTGTTACACCAGTTTGAGCGTTTATGAAAGTAAAAGCAATGAAACAACCAGCTGTATAGATAGCACATGGAATGAAGTCTGAGAACAAAAGGTTGGAACGATGAGCACGAGCAGCATCACCAGCAGCTTTTTCAGATTCATCACCAACTAACTTATGCTTGAAACCAGTAATTCTAG